AACACTTAAACATTTCACATTTTACGGAAAGGGTATTCCTTTAGGGAGAACACTTCTTGTTTGTGATTGGACAGAGCCAGCCAGAGGAGCACTGCTGTGATTGGTTGTTTTTGCTGCCAGTTAAGAAATGACGCTTCGTGATTGGTCCGCACCCGGCCGACAGCACCACGTATTTCCTGTTTGGTACTGTTCAGCTGTTTCTTCACGAATTGTAAACTGAGTTGGAAAAAATGGAAGAAGAGATGGAACGAAGGATATACATACGATGTTATCCTCGACATGCTGTCAACCCATCACGACATCTACATGTCCCTTAGAACCAGGGGTGTAGTGCTTGTGACTACCCGATTTGCATCTTTGTCCGATTTGCATTGCGCAAGCGTGAGATGGTCTGCCGTATTGGACAGCTACATACGGCAACCCAAATAGGACACTTCACACAGTGGCGTTTGGCAAAGCAGAAAAAGAAAACTAAAAAAACCAGACAACATTAATCTGAACGATATATATATATATAATTCCAAAGCTGGTAAAGACCTTTCAAATGTAGCAATAATTGTCATATAAGAAAACTACTGATCTAATAACAGAGATGTGTTCTTCAATCAACTTTTTTATGGAAAATCTTTTATGTAATTGTATTTAATTTGAAATAAAATGAAAGACATTCATAGTTAATGTAATTACATATAAATTATTAATGCCAAACATTTTTGCATACATTCACAGTAAATATTTCTTCAGTATGATAACTGTCTAACAGAAGTTAAATCAATTTCTCACTTATTCTAAGAATGTAATTAACCCAATAAAAGTATTTGTTAAATAATAGTGAAGTCACGTTGTAATAACAATAACTCTCTCTCTCGTTCAGATTAATGTTGCCGGGTTTTTTTATTATTTTTTTCTACTTTGCGAAACAAATGTCCTATTTGGGTTGCCGTATGTAGCTGTCCAATATGGCGGACCATCTCGCGCTTGCGCAATGCAAATCGGGCAGAGATGCAAATCGGGTAGTCACAGCTGCCGGAGCGCCGCTCCGGTTGTTAGCATCTGGTTAGCTAGCTATGCTAACGTACATAAGGAGTTGTTTCTACAACAAGGTGGAGGAGAGTCCTCTCCTGTCAGACTGAGAGGATCTTATAACTACAGCTCAGTGAGCTAAAGGACTCTGAGTGTTTAGATAGTTAACTTTAGTCTAAGCTATCTCAGTGGGTCTCAAACGGTTTGGTCACCATTTATGTAAACAAGTATTTCCAAAGCACACCTTTTTATTATCATTATAGTTATAAAAAATAAGAGAATAAATGAAAAACAGGTATGAAATAATTCCAACTCATACTATAGGACAGTAAAACTAAAATACAGTTTAAAAGGGGAGTGATTAGTAAGATATGCATAAAGAAAAGGTACTTCTGTTTACAGTACTGTTTCACTTGGGTGTTGTTGAGAGAGGTATCCATAGATTTAGTCCCTAACTTTGCTCTCAAAGTGCAGCAGATTGATGCATTTAATTTCAACATTTAAAAAAATCATCTTCCCGGGGGAGCATGCCCCCGGACCCCCCTAGAGGATGTTAGGTCCACCACCCACAAAAAAAAGGGTCACATGGATAGAATTCTAAATACATTTGATATAGTAGCCTATGTCCATATGTTGCTTTTTTGTTGGTCATAGGTGCGCTCCTGCACTTATAAAAATAGCACTACACCCCTGCTTAGAACCCTGAGAGCGCAGTTTAAAGAGTTAGGACTGAGGAGACCTCACTTACTTTATTTATTTATTTTATTTTAACCTTTTATGTTTAAAGTATGCTATATAAATCAAATGTATTATTATTATTATTATTATTATTATTACTGAGCTGTAGTTATAAGATCCTCTCAGTCTGAAAGGAGAGGACTCTCCTCCACCTTGTTGTAGAAACAACTCCTTATGTACGTTAGCATAGCTAGCTAACCAGATGCTAACAACCGGAGCGGCGCTCCGGCAGCACTACACCCCTGGTTCTAAGGGACATGTAGATGTCGTGATGGGTTGACAGCATGTCGAGGATAACATCGTATGTATATCCTTCGTTCCATCTCTTCTTCCATTCTTTCCAACTCAGTTTACAATTCGTGAAGAAACAGCTGAACAGTACCAAACAGGAAATACGTGGTGCTGTTGGCCGGGTGCGGACCAATCACAAAGCATAATTTCTTGACTGGCAGCAAAAACAACCAATCACAGCAACTTCTCTGGCTGGCTCTGTCCAATCACAAACAAGAAGTGTTCTCCTTAAAGGAATACCCTTTCCGTAAAATGTGAAATGTTTAAGTGTTTTCTGAAATGTTGTTTTGACTTGCACTTCAGGAACACCGTATGAGGGGGAAGACACAACAAAACATTATATTTATATAGCGCTTTTCTTGAACTCAAAGACGCTTTGGAGGGTGGAGTGAGGTGAGGGAAATGGAGGAGGGACTTAGTGCTGATGTTTTTTTGAATCCTTATTAATATGGATTTCTGGAAAACCTGAGCTCCAGGAGAAAACCCTATCTGATCCACTTTTGGGTTTTCTCCTGGAGCTCAGGTTCGCCCAATACAATTAGGATTTGATTTAAAAATAAAATACAAATTCAAATCTATCTTTGTACGCGTGTGCCTCACTGTGTAAACATATACAGTATACATTATTTACTGTATACATTTTGGTTACTAAAGTACTTCTTTTTATTCATTGTATGTTTAATCAACACTTTCATAAATAAAACAACCCATGGTATGAAATATAAAAGTGTTTTTATATTTGTCTCACTGTACACATTCAATTCCATTATATATGTATATATTTTTTAAATGTGTTCATAGAAGCTGGTCAAATATTCTGGGACTTCAATACTCCAAATGTTGAGGTGAAGAGCGGAACATGTAATTGTATTGACTGAAACATGGAGTCACTCACCTCAATAGAGTCAAATAAAAACTGAAAATATATGCCTTATGTGATGTGCTTTTGATTCAACAACACAAACATTTAAAACCTCACTTAAATAGAAATGCGTAATTATTATCTGCAAAACTTTGGTAAAAAAATCATCGCTGTCAGGGTTTCACTAACAAATAGTTTATTTATCTTGAGAAGTAGGAAGATTTCTAAACCCATTAAAGGTGGGGTAGGTAAGTTTGAGAAACCGGCTGGAGATACACTTGTTGTTATATTCCATGGAATGCTCTTAACATCCCGATAGCAATGAATATCTGAAGTGCTTTGACAACAAATCCATAAATAAATATCATCTGTGGAAGCTGTAGTACTGTAAAAAGCACGACCAATCATCTGAGCCGGCCCGGCTAAAATAACTGGATGGCCTACCTGCCTGTCAGCCTTCCATCTGTGCACAAACTTATCTCGTGCCCTCATTGGTCATGTGCGCGTTCGTGTGTGTTGGAGGAGGGGCTCTGTAAGGAAGTGGCAGATCTTTTCCGGTTGTGTATTTTCAAATTCTAGCGCACTCGAGCTGGTTTCTCCAAAATGACCTACCCCACCTTTAACAGACACAAGTTAATGAAAACTCACATTTAAAATTACCTAATTATGGTATGGATAGGGTTTAGGGTTAGGGTTAGTACAAATTGTTCAGTATATCTAAAAGAATGCAATGTAATTTAATGTAATGTAAGAAAAACGTAACTGAGTAAAAAGTAAAATAGTTACCTGAGAGATGAAGTGATTTAGAAAAGTATAAAGATGAATAAGATGGAAATACTTAAGTACTTTTATTTTATACTTAAGTTTATCACTTGGGGAACACTGGAAAATATGATATTATAATATTATGATTTATAGCAAAGGCTCTAGATTACAAAGCGTTTATAATACAGTACATTATTGTATGCCGTAACAGCTGTGGGATTACATATGGTGGGTTTAAAGGGGACATTAAGTCTCTGAGTTTCTATATTACGGCTACACAGTTTATCATAGACAATTATGACTATTTTTGATTTCCATAAACTCTTTGGGAGACATGCCATTCATGTTACATAGCTTGGACTTCATCATGATTGACACCAAACGTAAAGACTTCGACACAATTCTGTTGTAATGTAGATGTTTTGAGGCATGGACCGGTGATTACATGTGAAATTTGGTAGCGATCGGACCGTGTCCATTGGTGTCACAGCAATATCGTGTTTCGGCACCTCAGATTTGGAGATGAGCTGTTCAGGGCCGAAGCATTAACCATCATGTGACGTTTGGGGCCGTTTGGAGCGTGTCAGCTGGCGTTAGGAGATAATCACCTTCCATGGAAAGGGATCACAGAGCCATCAGGCGAGAGTCAAAATGGGCGCCACTAACTTTTCATCTCCCAGGTCTTGAGATGCTACTGTCAAGATTTGAAGATGATTGGATAAAATCCCTAGGAGGAGTTTGTTGTTAAAGTACGGTGCACTTTTCTGTCCCCAGAGTCAGAACTAAACATGGAGAAGTTCAGTTATGATGCTCCAAGTATCTGGAACAAACTCCCAGAAACCTGCCGGTCGGCTGCAACTCTGTCTACTTTTAAATCCAGCCTGAAGACTTTTCTTTTTGACGCTGCTTTTAATTGAACTATTCATCTCTTACACTGCACTGTAACTTTTATTCATGTATTTTATATCTGTGTTATTCTATATTAGCTTGTTTTGTTTGACAAGATCTTTGAATTGCCACTTTGGCAACACTTTGAATTGCCTTGTGTTGAAAGGTGCTATATAAATAAACTTGCCTTGCTCGAAAAACACTCCACACAACATGTCACAGTCCACGCAAAATATAAATATTATGGGAAATTAAAAAAGTTACTTTAGTTAAAAATACACAAGTACTATCTTCAATGGTAAAAATGTATTTAAAATACATTTTCTCACATCTAGTATAGACACTTTTTGAGTTTGCATCTTCATGGTTACATGCACTTATTGTTATTTCAATGGATAAAAGCATCAGCAAAATGAAATGGGAAAATATTTACCATTCTGTGAGAGAGTCTGTAACAACAAAACTGAATTTTTAATCATACATTTTTGTGAACTTACCTTCAAACTCACCTCTACAGTCGATAGATAGATAGATAGATAGTTAGGTAGGTAGGTACTTTATTAATCCCAAATTGCGAAATTATTTTTGTTACAGGACCAGTGTGCTCAACATTAAAATACAAATACTCAAAAGTGGAAAAGAGTTAATTAAAATGAAAATGAAAAATAGTATATCAATCACTATAAACAATATACACAATTAAAATGTTCTTTAGAAAAAGGTAAACAAATACTGCAGTAGCATGAATATAGGCTTATAATATACTGTATATACATATGATGGATTCAAAAGATTCAAAGCTACAGCGGAGAAATGGCAATGAAATTCTATTTTATCTGTTTTATTGTGTTGCTCTGTTGGAGGAGCGTGTGACCTCAGATGTTCATTGATATACCTACACTGTAGCTATGTACACATGACAATAAAGCCTTGAATCTTGAGGAAGGAGAAACTCAACGTTACATTTTGCACGGAGGAGGAGGCGAGCGTCAGCAGGGACTTCAACAGGAAGTGACTCCCGATGCTGAGCAGCTTCGGGTGGAGCTCCCGAGCAGAAGAGATGTTGCAGAGGGCGGAGCAGCTGTAGAACTGGACCTCTGAGTCTGAGCCCTGCAGCAGCAGAACCAGAACCGGGAAACCCCCCGCATCACCCAGCAGCCTCCTGGACCAATCTGGAGAGAGAGAGAGGAGCATAACACCAGAAAAAAACATCTGCTTTTGTTAAATATGTGAGGATTTAAAGGTCACCTATTATGCAAAATCCTCTTCTTCATGTCTCTTCTACATCAACATGTGTCCCCTCTTCTCTTCTCTCAATGTGTCCCTCTTCTTCATGTCTCTCTTCATCAACATGTGTCCCCTCTGTGGAAAGAGACTCTGAAAGTTTCAGGAAAAAAAATTCTCTCACTTTTTGTCCTGATCCATTTGATATAAAAACCTGTCTGAAAATGAGCTGATCAGATTTTGGCCACTTAATGATGTCATAGCGATTTTTTGTCTTGTGTAACCATTAGCCAATCAGCAACCAAGGTAACCCCCCCCCCCATCTTATCACCTGAATCTCCTCCTAGAGCACCATTGAGTTCTTTGTAACCAAATGTCTCTCAGAGGGGCGTGGGGAGGGGCTCCTTATTTTCATCTAAAGTAACAGACAGAGAATCAGCACTTTGGAAACAGGGCTGAAACAGAGGGGATTCTGGGTAATGCTGCAATGATCTGTTTGGTGTTTGGAGCCAAACACTTCAGAGACATGTTTGTATATATCTGAGACCTATAATATATTGATGAAAAACAGTATAATAGGGGACCTTTAAAGGAAGTGACCCTACCTGAGTGTGTGAGGTGCAGCAGAGCCCAGGAGGCCACCTGCTGCTCTCGAGGGTCGTAGGATCTGGCTAAAGCCAGCAGAGGCTTCACTCCCTCCAACATGACAGTCTCTCTGTTCGACTCTGCACGGAAATACATGTTAAACTTTCAAAAGTCAAAGTGAACTTTATTGTCAATCTTTCAGTTTGTGTGTACAGACAGAGAGATCAACATACCGTTTCCCACAATCCCGAATACAAAAACAAATATATATAAAAATATGTAACAGCCAGACACCGAGAGAATAATTATTATTAAACAATTTAAAGACCTTAAATCCTTCTGCACCCACCTGAGGAGGCGAGGAGGCAGGCGCAGGAGTGGCTCTGAGCGCTGGAGTCTCCGGACCGGATCAGATCCAGGATCGGAACCAGCATCCCCATCTCAACCACAGAGGCTCTGCACACTGACACCAGATTACAGTATATGCACGGTTATTATGACCCTATTCATCTGGATCAATTTAAGATGTGATTGTGGATAACAATTAGATTGAAAAAAAAGCAATATTAAAAACATGATTCCATTAGAGGGACATCTCTAAGATGTTGACCAATAACAACAGAGCCGGCCAGCTAACCAATCAGAGCAGACATGTCACAGTAGAGACACTACATACTGATATACACCTGAACATCAGCAGGAGAGGACTCTTTAAAGTAGAGACACTACATACTGATACACACCTGAACATCAGCAGGAGAGGACTCTTTAAAGTAGAGACACTACATACTGATATACACCTGAACATCAGCAGGAGAGGACTCTTTAAAGTAGAGACACTACATACTGATATACACCTGAACATCAGCAGGAGAGGACTCTTTAAAGTAGAGACACTACGTACTGATATACACCTGAACATCAGCAGGAGAGGACTCTTTAAAGTAGAGACACTACATACTGATATACACCTGAACATCTGCAGGAGAGGACTCTTTAAAGTAGAGACACTACATACTGATATACACCTGAACATCAGCAGGAGAGGACTCTTTAAAGTAGAGACACTACATACTGATATACACCTGAACATCTGCAGGAGAGGACTCTTTAAAGTAGAGACACTACATAGTGATATACACCTGAACATCAGCAGGAGAGGACTCTTTAAAGTAGAGACACTACATACTGATATACACCTGAACATCTGCAGGAGAGGACTCTTTAAAGTAGAGACACTACATAGTGATATACACCTGAACATCAGCAGGAGAGGACTCTTTAAAGTAGAGACACTACATAGTGATATACACCTGAACATCAGCAGGAGAGGACTCTTTAAAGTAGAGACACTACATACTGATACACACCTGAACATCAGCAGGAGAGGACTCTTTAAAGTAGAGACACTACATACTGATATACACCTGAACATCAGCAGGAGAGGACTCTTTAAAGTAGAGACACTACATACTGATATACACCTGAACATCAGCAGGAGAGGACTCTTTAAAGTAGAGACACTACATACTGATATACACCTGAACATCAGCAGAAGAGGACTCTTTAAAGTAGAGACACTACATACTGATATACACCTGAACATCAGCAGGAGAGGACTCTTTAAAGTAGAGACACTACATACTGATATACACCTGAACATCAGCAGGAGAGGACTCTTTAAAGTAGAGACACTACATACTGATATACACCTGAACATCAGCAGGAGAGGACTCTTTAAAGTAGAGACACTACATACTGATACACACCTGAACATCAGCAGGAGAGGACTCTTTAAAGTAGAGACACTACATACTGATATACACCTGAACATCAACAGGAGAGGACTCTTTAAAGTAGAGACACTACATACTGATATACACCTGAACATCAGCAGGAGAGGACTCTTTAAAGTAGAGACACTACATACTGATATACACCTGAACATCAGCAGGAGAGGACTCTTTAAAGTAGAGACACTACATAGTGATATACACCTGAACATCAGCAGGAGAGGACTCTTTAAAGTAGAGACACTACATACTGATATACACCTGAACATCAGCAGGAGAGGACTCTTTAAAGTAGAGACACTACATACTGATACACACCTGAACATCAGCAGGAGAGGACTCTTTAAAGTAGAGACACTACATAGTGATATACACCTGAACATCAGCAGGAGAGGACTCTTTAAAGTAGAGACACTACATACTGATACACACCTGAACATCAGCAGGAGAGGACTCTTTAAAGTAGAGACACTACATACTGATATACACCTGAACATCAGCAGGAGAGGACTCTTTAAAGTAGAGACACTACATACTGATATACACCTGAACATCAGCAGGAGAGGACTCTTTAAAGTAGAGACACTACATACTGATATACACCTGAACATCAGCAGGAGAGGACTCTTTAAAGTAGAGACACTACATACTGATATACACCTGAACATCAGCAGGAGAGGACTCTTTAAAGTAGAGACACTACATACTGATATACACCTGAACATCAGCAGGAGAGGACTCTTTAAAGTAGAGACACTACATACTGATATACACCTGAACATCAGCAGGAGAGGACTCTTTAAAGTAGAGACACTACATACTGATATACACCTGAACATCAGCAGGAGAGGACTCTTTAAAGTAGAGACACTACATACTGATATACACCTGAACATCAGCAGGAGAGGACTCTTTAAAGTAGAGACACTACATACTGATATACACCTGAACATCAGCAGGAGAGGACTCTTTAAAGTAGAGACACTACATACTGATATACACCTGAACCTCAGCAGGAGAGAACTCTTTAAAGTAGAGACACTACATACTGATATACACCTGAACATCAGCAGGAGAGGACTCTTTAAAGTAGAGACACTACATGCTGATATACACCTGAACATCAGCAGGAGAGGACTCTTTAAAGTAGAGACACTACATACTGATATACACCTGAACATCAGCAGGAGAGGACTCTTTAAAGTAGAGACACTACATACTGATATACACCTGAACATCAGCAGGAGAGGACTCTTTAAAGTAGAGACACTACATACTGATATACACCTGAACATCAACAGGAGAGGACTCTTTAAAGTAGAGACACTACATACTGATATACACCTGAACATCAACAGGAGAGGACTCTTTAAAGTAGAGACACTACATACTGATATACACCTGAACATCAGCAGGAGAGAACTCTTTAAAGTAGAGACACTACATACTGATATACACCTGAACATCAGCAGGAGAGGACCTCTTAAAGTAGAGACACTACATGCTGATATACACTGAACATCAGCAGGAGAGGACTCTTTAAAGTAGAGACACTAATACTGATATACACCTGAACATCAGCAGGAGAGGACTCTTTAAAAGTAGAGACACTACATACTGATATACACCTGAACATCAGCAGGAGAGGACTCTTTAAAGTAGAGACACACATGCTGATATACACCTGAACATCAGCAGGAGAGGACTCTTTAAAGTAGGAGACACTACATACTGATATACCACCGAACATCAGCAGGAGAGGACTCTTTAAAGTAGAGACACTACATACTGATACACACCCTGAACATTCAGCAGGAGAGGACTCTTTAAAGTAGAGGACACTACATACTGATATACACCTGAACATCAGCAGGAGAGGACTCTTTAAAGTAGAGACACTACATACTGATATACACCTGAACATCAGCAGGAGAGGACTCTTTAAAGTAGAGACACTACATACTGATATACACCTGAACATCAGCAGGAGAGGGACTCTTTAAAAGTAGAGACACTACATACTGATATACACCTGAACATCAGCAGAAGAGGACTCTTTAAAGTAGAGACACTACATACTGATATACACCTGAACATCAGCAGGAGAGGACTCTTTAAAGTAGAGACACTACATACTGATATACACCTGAACATCAGCAGGAGAGGACTCTTTAAAGTAGAGACACTACATACTGATATACACCTGAACATCAGCAGGAGAGGACTCTTTAAAGTAGAGACACTACATACTGATATACACCTGAACATCAGCAGGAGAGGACTCTTTAAAGTAGAGACACTACATACTGATATACACCTGAACATCAGCAGGAGAGGACTCTTTAAAGTAGAGACACTACATACTGATATACACCTGAACATCAGCAGGAGAGGACTCTTTAAAGTAGAGACACTACATACTGATATACACCTGAACATCAGCAGGAGAGAACTCTTTAAGTAGAGACACTACATACTGATATACACCTGAACATCAGCAGGAGAGGACTCTTTAAAGTAAAGACACTACATACTGATATACACCTGAACATCAGCAGGAGAGGACTCTTTAAAGTAGAGACACTACATAGTGATATACACCTGAACATCAGCAGGAGAGGACTCTTTAAAGTAGAACACTACATACTGATACACACCTCTGAACATCAGCAGGAGAGAGGACTCTTTAAAGTAGAGACACACATTACTGATATACACCTGAACATCAGCAGGAGAGCACTCTTTAAAGTAGAGACAACTACATACTGATATACACCTGAACATCAGCAGGAGAGGACTCTTTAAAAGTAGAGACACTACATACTGATATACACCTGAACATCAGAAGAAGAGGACTCTTTAAAGTAGAGACACTACATACTGATATACACCTGAACATCAGCAGGAGAGGACTCTTTAAAGTAGAGACACTACATACTGATATACACCTGAGCATCAGCAGGAGAGGACTCTTTAAAGTAGAGACACTACATACTGATATACACCTGAACATCAGCAGGAGAGGACTCTTTAAAGTAGAGACACTACATACTGATATACACCTGAACATCAGCAGGAGAGAACTCTTTAAGTAGAGACACTACATACTGATATACACCTGAACATCAGCAGGTGAGGACTCTTTAAAGTAGAGACACTACATACTGATATACACCTGAACATCAGCAGGAGAGGACTCTTTAAAGTAGAGACACTACATACTGATATACACCTGACATCAGCAGGAGAGGGACTCTTTAAAGTAAGAGACACTACATACTGATATACACCTGAACATCAGCAGGGAGAGGACTCTTTAAAGTAGAGACACTACATACTGATATACACCTGAACATCAGCAGGAGAGGACTCTTTAAAGTAGAGACACTACATACTGATATACACCTGAACATCAGCAGGAGAGGACTCTTATCAGTAGAGACACCACATACCGATATACCCTGAACATCAGCAGGAGAGGACTCTTTAAAGTAGAGACACTACATACTGATATACACCTGAACATCAGCAGGAGAGGACTCTTTAAAGTAGAGACACTACATACTGATATACACCTGAACATCAGCAGGAGAGGCTCTTAAAGTAGAGACCTACATACTGATATACACCCTGAACATCAGCAGGAGAGGACTCTTTAAAGTAGAGACCA